GGTGAATTCGTGTAAATTGGGACACTTTTTGTCATAGAGATGAATGGAAAAAATGTCCCAGTTTATTCATATTCACCCTAATTTTTGCTTAAAATGGTACATTTTATATATCATCTACACAGACTTTGGATTATAAACTTGTTTAGATGAATTTGAGTCAGAATATACGAACTATACGAACAGGAGGTGTGTGTGTGTGTGTGTGTGTGTGTGTGTATGTGTGTACCTGTTTGGTGGGGACTGTGGGGACTTAAACCTGAATACACACAGACTCATGGGGACTCGTGTCATGGTGGGGACCTAAATTGAGGTCCCCACGGGTAAACAAGCTAATAAATCACACAGAATTAAGTTTTTTGAAAATCTAAAAATGCACAAAGTTTCCTGTGAGGGGTAGGTTTAGGGGTAGGGTTGGTGTAGGACAATAGAATATACGGTCTGTACAGTAGAAAAACCATTACGCCTATGGAGAGTCCCCACAAGGATAGCAAACCAGACATGTGTGTGTGTGTGTATATGTATGTATATGTGTGTGTGTGTACAGGTTTATATATTCTGGTGGGGACTTAAACCTGAATACACACAGACTCATGGAGACTCGTGTCACGGTGGGGACCTGGTCCCCACGGGTACAAAAGCTTATAAATCATACAGAATTAAGTTTTTTGAAAATCTAAAAATGCAGAAAGTTTCCTGTGAGGGGTAGGTTTAGGTGTAGGGCAATAGAATATACGGTCTGTACAGTAGAAAAACCATTACGCCTATGGAGAGTCCCCATAAGGATAGCTGACCAGACTAAGTGTGTGTGTGTGTGTGTAAATATATAGAAAATTGGCAGGGTTGTATAAGAACTCTTACTGTAGATATTGCTGTCAGAGGTGACCTAATTTACCAACACATCCAGCTATTGAACAGCTTGTCATATAAAAATAGTTAATCTGACTGCCTCAATCCACTCAGTATTCACAACTGAGAATGATAATGAATAATTTAGATTCTGGAAGTGTGTGTCATGACATGGAAAGGCCCTACAGCCTACCAAATACAACAGAAAGATAGAACTGCATTTAACAAAGTGCATTTAAATCCTAGAGGTTTTAATTAATCATTTATCAAATCCATCTGTGAAAATGATTCTACTGTGTGTTCATAAGACAAAGGGTATGAAGGACTGATCTTAAAGGAATTCTTCACCCAAAAATTAAGATTCTATTATTCATTTAATAATTTATTTATTTCCCTTTGTAGTTCCAGATTTGTTTGACTTTCTTTCTTCACTGAAATAAAAAGGTAGATATTCATGCAGCTCTTTTAAAAAAAAAAAGCATCATAAAAGGAGTCCATATGACTCATGTGCTGTATTCCAGGTATTATGAAATCATAAGATAACTCTGTGTGAGTTTAAACCAATTTAAGCCATTATTTCATGACTAATGTCATTAATTGTCTTGTGTCTGGCAGCTGATCTTAATGCACCAAGTTTGAATATGCTGAAGCACAAATTAGTCAATTTCAATCTGTTCTTCAGAATCAAAACCCTTAAATTCTTTATGATTCCCATTCCTAGTGGTTTTGATTCCTCTTAACGATTCCCGTTCTGTTAACTTCCATTATTCTTTTAGTGCTTTTTATGGAATAAATATTTGGGATCATTTGAATAAGTCATTTTTTCAAAGTCTTTGAAAAAGGCTTGATTGACTAAAATGAACCAATTCATTAGAATCATTTGTTCAGTACTCACTCACTCAATCGTTCTTCACTGGTTGCTGTATATTGATTGTTGTCTTATGACTTCAGGAAACATATATAGTACACAAGTCAATTGGACTACTTTTATGCTATTTCATGGTGTATTTTTGTCATTTTGGAGCTTGACAGCTTCATTCACTTGAATTGTTTGGAAAACCTGTTGAGTTCCACAAAAGAATCACTCATACAGGTTTACTAATGACATGAGAGTGAGTAAATGATTTTAAGGTGAGCTATTCCTTTAAATTATGTTTTGAACTTTTGCCTGGTGCAAGTATTTTTAGTATGATTAGCAGTCAGTCTGTGACTGAACAGAATGAGGTCTCGTGTGAAGCAGTCAGAACTTGTATCCCTCAGCGTTTCCTAGGCATGCCATCTCCAGGTGTCCTTGGAGAGCAGAGATACACAGCCAGCTAATTAAACATAACACAAAGCTATTGAAATGACAGTCCTGTCTTATGTGCAATTAATTATTATGACAGCTGAGTTTCCCTAAACCGAGTCCTCCAACCAGTTTTAAATTTCAACCTATTTAAGTTTCATGAATATTTAATGTGTTCGGTGATCCTCAGTTATCCTCGTGTGTGTGGAGCATGGGCTGCTCTACTGTAACCGCTCGAGTGCACTCTGCAGGTGCTTTTTTTTTGTTGTTGTTGTTGTTGTTTTTGTTTTGCTATTTTGCTGCTGTCACTTTAAATGGATAAATAGGCTTGATCAGAACAGTGTTATTTACTCAGAAAGGCCCATTCAGTGAACAGCTATTATGAGCCTGTTTACAGGGGTCATATTTCGTATTCATAGTTTTAGCTTTTAACGTGAGGTCAACTAATAATTATCTATGATAATTATAGATAGATAGATAGATAGAGGACGGACGGACGGACAGACGGACAGATAGAGGATGATGGATGGATGGATAAACAGAGCTGATAGATAGATAGATAGATAGATAGATATATAGATAGATAGATAGATAGATAGATAGATAGATAGTAGGGCTGCACGATAAATCGCATGCGATATTTAACGCACATCTTGTCAGAAAAGCCGGTTCTGTAATCAGCGGTAAATCTCCATCACGTGCGTGCTTTCACATTGAGCGGCGGCGTCCGCTCTCAGTTCCCCCGAGGCGGCGGCGTCCGCTCTCAGTTCCCCCGAGGCGGCGGCGTCCGCTCTCAGTTCCCCCGAGGCGGCGGCGTCCGCTCTCAGTTCCCCCGAGGCGGCGGCGTCCGCTCTCAGTTCCCCCGAGGCGGCGGCGTCCGCTCTCAGTTCCCCCGAGGCGGCGGCGTCCGCTCTCAGTTCCCCCGAGGCGGCGGTGCCCGCTCGCCGTTTCCACGGGGCGCCGGTGTCCGCTCACAAAGCTCCAGAAGCGGCGGTGGCCGCTCTCAGTTCCCCCGAAGCAGCGGTGCCCGCTCATGATGTTCTCAAAGCGGCGGTGCCCGCTCACAAGGCTCCGGAAGCGGCGGTGGCCGCTCGTGATGTTCTCGAAGCGGCAGTACCCGCTCATGATGTTTTCGAAGCGGCGGTGCCCGCTCACGATCCTCCCGAGGCGGCGGAGCCCGCTCACGATGTTCTCGAAGTGGCGGCGCCCGCTCACGATCCTCCCGAGGCGGCGGTGTCCGCTCACAAGGCTCCGGAAGCGGCGATGGCCGCTCTCAGTTTCCCCGAGGCCGCGGTGGCCGCTCTCAGTTCCCCCGAATCGGCGGTGTCCGCTCACAAGGCTCCGGAAGCGGCGGTGGCCGCTCTCAGTTTCCCCGAGGCGGCGGTGGCCGCTCATGATGTTCTTGAAGCGGCGGTACCCGCTCATGATGTTCTCGAAGCGGCGGTGCCCGGCCACAAGGCTCCAGAAGCGGCGGTGTCCTCTCACAAAGCTCCGGAAGCGGCGGTGGCCGCTCTCAGTTCCCCCGAAGCGGCGGTG